CCACACACACACACAATAAATAAATGTAATAAATAAAAATAAATAAATAATTAAAAAAAATTATAAAAAAGATAAACTTGAGGCTTTCACCTGTAAATGGATGCAACCAGAGACCATACTGGTAAGTAAAATAAATCAGAACTGCATGTGTAAACATTGTGTTGTCTCGCTAGTAGAAAAACCTAAAAGAGTAGATAAAATCTGAAAGGTACAATAGATGCTATGAAAGGGAAAGAATCTGTTCAATGGGAAGGAAACACTGGGATGAGGAAACGGACAAATGAAAGAAGGGAAAGAGATATATTTATGTATATATGCAGGGTAGCTTGGATCATTTCACTGCTGATTTCTTCTAGTCTACTGAAAGGAGCAATTCATGCCTAATTTTTTCTCCTTTTTAATTGTAAATTTTTAAAACCAAGTCTGCATGCTTATATCCAGTAATCTAAACAACTAATTTGAAGATAATACACAATACAACCACCACTGTCAAATTCCTATTATTTTGTTTAGTCCAATTCGGTAGCATTTATGATGTTTTATTTTTTAACAATGTTTTGTGTTCTTTTTAAAAAAGAAAATGAGAAGCATACAAGTAAGCAATTAAAGAGCAGCGCTCAAGGAAATGAAGAGCATACTGGAGGAAATTAAGGCACCGCTGACACAGCCAGGGTCCTACTGTGTGAGTGTTAAACACAAATTCTAATCAGTGAGCTGCAGATGCTCTCCTAGGATCTGTAAGGACAAAGGCACCAGGTGAAGGATATGGGTGGAAAGATGAGAGGCCTAGGGAAAGATCTGGAGCTTCGTGATGCAAGGAGGGGGCAGGGATGGGGTGAGGGCAGACATGGGGGGGGGGCTGGAGAATGTGCCAAGCAAACAGCAGGAGCAGTGCACCGGTACCCCCCTCCCTCTCAACAGTATGTGAGAACAGAATCAATGACCATCCTTACTTTATAGAAGGGGGATGTAGTTCTCATAAAAGACTCACAGGGCAACTTTCTGACTTACCTACATTGATGTCAGGTCATGCAAATTTTCAACCCTTTAACTGAATCTGTAAAATTGGCCCTCACACTTATTGTGAAGATTAGATAACAACATGGAGAGCTAGGTGCTCTGTGTACTGCAAAGAGATGCACCTACTTGGAGGGTGACATCAGGGCCTTGCCTTGTGGTCCTGCAAGCACACAGCTGAACGCTGAGGACAACAATCTTCCAGCAGAGGGCAGCAGAGGCCTTGGGTTCAAGGTATTGGGGGAAGGGCAGCTTCTTCCAATTCACACTGCACTGTCACAGGCCGGATATGGGGATTCATCGTTGGGGCAAGAGGATGCCCAATGACTTGGTTTGTTACTTATGTGCAAGATGTGCGGTACGGAGGACCTGGGCAGAGTGGGACAGGTCTGATCCACCCGCTGACCCCTGCGGCGCTCAACCTGAGGTTCTCAGATAATGAATTACAGCTGCAGTGGGTGCCAGAGTGAACACACCTAATGGGAGTCTGTGGGTGTAAGGAAGAGAGGGAGGAGGAAGGGGTGCATGCGAGGGGTGCACAGTAGAGGAGCCCCTGAGTGGGCAGGGGGGAGGCATTCAGTGCTCATCGGGCTGCAAGGTGAGAGCTCTAGTGTGGACCTTCTGGAAGGAAAGCTTGCACTATGAGGAACTGGCCAGGGAGTGAGTAGACAGAGGGCCAAGGAGGTGTATTTTACACATGCACACACACACACAGACACACAGAGACACACACACACACATATATATACATAACAGATCCTAGAAGCAAATAAAGGGATGGGTAGCCTTAAAAATATTAGGTACAAAGGGCTTTCAAAGGAAAAAGTATGAGGCATGGAGCAGTGGTTATCACTGCTGGATGGTTTGTCCCAGGGGACCAGTGGCAATGCTTGGGAATCTTGGGAGGCACATGTCACTGGGCCCAGTGGCCAGAGGTGTTCAGGATACCTCATGATTCCCATGGTGGCCCTGCAGTGAATTATCTGTCCCCAAATGCCAACAATGCCAATGTTGGGCCTTCATGACCAATAGCTTCTCAAGCAAGTTAGAAGCCATAAACGAGCCTGGTATGGTGGCACCACTGGTAATCCCAGCTACCTGGGAAGCTCAGACAGGAGGGTGGCAAGCTTGAGCCCAGCGTGGGCAACTTAACAAGACTCTGTTTCAAAATAATACACTTTTTAAAAAAAATGATTGGGCTATGGCTCAATGTGAAGAACCTTGAGTTCAATGTCTAGTACCACCAAAAAAAAAAAAAAAAGAAAAAAAGAAAAAAAAGCGAACAAAAAAGATAAACACAAGATAGATACAGTGTAATAGGCATTTTGCCATACATGATTTTAAAAAATGAACAGTTCTTAATAAAAATTGTGTAATTATAAAGATTACCTTCAAAAGAAAAATTTAAAGGACAAATTCATTTACAAAATAGGTTTGTTAGTAAAGAGAGGCTAGACGGTGGTACAGTGAGTGATGACAAAGTCCCAGCGCTTTATTATAGGAGTTGGGAAGCTATGGTCCAGGGGGCCAAACTGCCCTGAGGCCCACAGTGTTCCTGGGACCCAGCCACAGATGTCTGTCCCTTCCTCTCGGGCTGCCACTACTCTAGAAAGGCACAGCTGAGTGGCACAGCTGAATGTATGATCAGCAATGCCCAAACTACTGACTGGTTAGCCCATTTTGGAAAACGTTTGCCAAGTGCTGGTTTTGGGCAGAAGAGTTAACTTTTCCTTCCTGCTACTTGCCATCACACATTGGGTGAGGCTTGGCCCTACCTCGTGGACTCTGATGGTTCTTGGGCACAGAGCTGATCACGGGACAGAAGAAGACAGATGACCTGTGGTCTGAAAGCTGGGGGCTCTCCCTTGCCTTACGTCACTTCCGGAAGCTGGAGCCATGGGACCCCAGTGTGCACGGTGATACCACACAGACCTAACCCAAGGTAATGCACAGAGAAACGTAAACTTCCTTTGTGAACTGACGACCATCAATCTACTGTATAACCAATGATCTCACCCTACCAGCTAATCAGAAGAACTGCCAGGCCGTTGCGTCTCACCTTGGCACCACCTGCTTGTGCATCACATAAAATCCCTAGGCCACCGAGGTCTGGGCCTGATATTCTGGGAACATTCCTGAGCAACATAATCAAATCTGCCTCCAAGCCCTGGGAGTCCTTTCAGTGTTTCTACTTGCCACAGCATCTTAAAAAGCATAGCTCTTTTCCTGGCATGGATTTCTAGCCTAAAAGGACATATCACATATATTACCAAACCTATCACCCAAATCCTAAGACAAGCCAGATAGTTTCTTTTCTATACTTACGCTTTCTCTGAGGAGAGTTTCCTCCGGAGAGTTTATTTCCCTTACGCGTAGGGTCTAGGAAGCAATGAGAACGGAAATTATTTTTCAATAAGTCTTATGTTTTGTGATTACATTGATTTCAAACAATAGAAGGTTGACAGGTTTGACACTATGACTTCTGTCCCTTCTTTTCTAATGCAGATCCCTGGGGACCAGGATGCCCATCCAGGGCCAGCCGTTCATTGTCTATTGGATCTTGGAAAAACCCACTCCTCCTTTCCCTGTCCCAATTCTCTCCTTGGTAAAACTGGAATAAGTCTTTCAACCTTCTCCAAGGGCAGCTTAAGAATAAAATGCAACTGCCTACAAGCTGAAGTATTACTCCGTCGATCAGCGGAATGGAGGGGAGAAACTATTAAAATAGGAATTTGGCTTTTCAGGTGGTAAAATTCAACTTATTTTTCCTGACATTAATTAGATGCTTGGGAGTCAAGCTTGTCATGCTAGAAGCCTGTGAGGCTGCAAGACAATAACATCACCAGCAAAGACAAAAGTCACCATTTCCCCTTCCTCACTCCAAGATCCTCCAGAAACGGGGATAACCGTGATTAGTGAGGGGCGGGTCAGCATGCAGCCCTTTGACAACACACACCCACAACAGCGCTAGTTGGTGCGCAAGGCAGTGCATCACGTTTGTGTTTATAATGAGCTTTTGTTTTCTCAATCTCCGCAGAAAGGTCACAGGAGAAAGATGGAGACTGGAATCCTAGGGAAAACTTGGTCTGTGGCTGGGGCACTTCCAGCATATTCTATACTCAGAGCGCAGGGTCTCAGTAGCAGTGATATTGTCCCCCAGAGTGCAAAAACTGCTCTGGATGGGGTGTGCAAAAATCTTAGGAGAGTCGCATATATGAACACACACACAGAATTCGTAGATGGATGTATGGTACGTTAGGATCTTAAACTAGCACAAGGAAGCTTGAGGTTAGGAAAAAAGTTATCTAAAAGCCCTCCTTGGGGTAGGGAAGATGAAATTAGAAGGTTGCGAAACACTGGCTTTATTGTACGACAGCTCTGAATTTGGGACCCGATGCTTGTACCTAAGACCTGGAACCCCTAACCTTTACAATGCACGATCCTGGGTGGTGCGCCACGCTTCTCCTGGGGCTCCTTTCCTTTCTTTGTTTCTGCAAAAAAAGAGCCAATGCTTCTTTAGGATGGATGCTCCCTGGAAAGTCACCTGGAGACCCTGTGTACTCTGGAGCTGAGGCTGCAGGCTCCAGGCCTGCCCTCCTGAGAGCGCATCTACCAGGAAGCTTGGTGCTGCTCCCAAGGGCACTCGGGCGAGAAGAGTGGGGGGTCAACAAAGCTGCTCCCCCAACACAGGTGTGCAGGGTCTAGTGCAGTGACGCCCCTGGGCCTGGGCTGGAGACCCTCAGGAGAAGCCTGTGAGCCCCTTGTGGGTGGAGGAGGCCCCCGCAGCCCTGCAGGAGATCTGTGAGGTCAGAACAGTGTTCATATTAACGTTTATTTGCCCCTTTCACTATTTCAGCCTTTGCACAGATGGAGTGAGAGCAGCGGCAGGTTAAGCTGCTAGTGCTTCCGCACAAGTCACAGCAGCATCTCCACTTCAGCAGGAACCAGGCCTGGGCACTGCCACTTGCTGGCCAAGAAAGTCCAGATTCTCTTAAGAACCTTCTCGGTAGCTCAGGAAGCATGATTAAAGTTTTAGAGTTCAAACTCCTGAGCATTCATCTTTCTAATATGCTATAGGGAAAAGTGGGAAGTCAATACAAAGCCCTTCTGCCACACCCTGACATCCACACCACGGGCTCACTCCTCAGTAAACTAACATTTTCGCAATATCAGTGCTACTGTAAGTTCTTGCATAAGTAGAAATCTATTCACCATTCTATGATAAATCCTGTGGCAGGGACAGTTTAAGGATGAATATGGTCTTCCCATGTTTCCCAACAGAAGGCTTGTTAGTTCTAAGAGGAAAATAGTACCTGAATAATAAATAAACCAGATTAACACTTGACTAGGTAGATTATTCTCAGTATCACCAATAAGCAGCACCTACAGATTTTATCCCTGGAGGATACTGTATCAGTAGTGACACAGATTCATGTGGATGACTGTAACTGTTTTGACTGTTTTTTTCTCTTTTTTTTTTTTTTTTTTTTTTTTG